AGATGCTTTTTGTTTGATTGAATAATAAAAAACACAAATTTACCTCCATACTGATCCAATTTCAAACAACTGTCAAAAATGACACCAAGATTCTTAAGAGAAGACTGATAAAGAGGGGCTAGAGAACCAAGAATTTGGTCAGATTTAGTAATAAGGTTATTTTGCCCAAAAAGTATGACTTGAGTTTTATTTGGATTCAGGTGAAGAAAATTTTGTTTCATCCAACTTCAGATAAACATTCTGTTAGAGACTGTAGGGAATCATATTTTTCATGTATTTTCTTTTTGGGCATGTATATTTGGACATCGTCTGCAAAAGAGTGAAAATAAACATTATATTTCTTAAAAATGTGTCCAAGAGGCAGCAAGTACAATATAAACAAAATAGGGCCTAAGATTGAACCCCGAGGAATTCCGTAATTTAGGGGTGCTGCCACAGAAGACCAATGATCTATGTGAACCGTGGAACTTTTGTCTTTCAAATATGACAAAAACCAATCTCAAAAAGGTATAAAGACCTATCACCCTAACACACCCATCCACCCATCCATCCATGTTTAGGGTCAGACTTAAAATATGTCCACAGGTCTGTCTGTAATCACTCCAATGCTGTCAATTAACATACTGTATTAAAGTTTCCAGATCCATGGCACCATCATCATCATCATCATCTGGACTTTCCCAACTTGTTTAAAAAGCAACATAGTCTTAGTTTACTTGAAGTGTGTGTAAAGACAAACTCATGTTTCCTCTTGTGTGGTTTCAACTTAGGAGTCATATCAGTGCTTTGTTTTCAGTGTGGATTCTCATGTGTTCGTTTAAACTGTCCTTTCTGGTAAACCTTCGATCACACAGCCCACAACAATAGGGTTTCTGTCCTGTGTGGATTCTCGTGTGTTTGTTTAAACTGCTCTTTTGAGAAAACCTTTGATCACACAGCTCACAACAAAATGGCTTCTGTCCTGTGTGGATTCTCATGTGTTTGTTTAAACTGCTCTTTTCAGTAAACCTTTGATCACACAGCTCACAAAAAAATGGCTTCTGTCCTGTGTGGACTCTCATGTGTGAGTTTAAATGGCCCTTTGTGGTAAACATTCGATCACACAGCTCACAACAAAATGGTTTCTGTCCTGTGTGGATTCTCATGTGTTTGTTTAAACTGCTCTTTTCAGTAAACCTTTGATCACACAGTTCACAACAAAATGGTTTCTGTCCTGTGTGGATTCTCATGTGTGTGTTTAAACTGCACTT